CGCCTGTCTCCCTGGCCATCCCTTGGAGGGACCTGGACCACTGCCAGCTCGCAGCTTTAGAGCTGATACCCTTTGCTTTCCTTGTGGTGGTCCAAATGCATGTGACCACGGCCAAAACCACTAGCCAGGGCACACAGTAAAGGGCAGGGAGAGATGAGAACAGACAGAAACACAAGCCACCAGGACCGTGGCGAGGAGCGGGCGCTGGCTGAGCGAGGTCACGCAGAGTGACAGACAGAAACCTGTGCGCCCCGAGACCAGCAGGGTTCTACCCCGGGTCTGCAAGGAGGAACGCGCGGGCACGGAGAGCTTACCCGGCTTGTCCCAGACGACAAAACCGGCGAGGGGCACCTGCCGACCAGGTCTCACCAGCTCGCGTCCCGAAACAGTGAGAGATGCGGGGACGCCCATGTGACCACTGCCCCAAGACCACAGCACCGGGACCCCAAGACTGTGCTCACGGGGACCCGAGTCCGTGGTATTAACATGGAGACGAGCCTAACGTGTGTCAAGCTCATTTAAAAACAGCAACGACCACACCACGTGTTAATGGAAGCAACTGCATTTAAATTTTAAACCTTTTATTTGGAAATAACTGAAACAATAAATTTGAAGAATAAAAATAATATTAAAAAACTGTATAGTTTACCTGGATACATCTCTCATTAACACTTCACCCATTAGAAATCATTTAAATCTCTCCTTCTTATGTGTGTGTATGTGTTTGTACATATATATTTATCTAATTGACGCACACGTGTGTATATATACATATGCTACATATACACACACAAATGTGCCAAAGTATATTGATAGCTGAAAAAATTTTTCTAAACCACCTGAAGATAAGTAATTTAGAAAAACATTTTAAATGTACACAGCGCTATTAATAGCTCACAGGGAAAGTGCTTTAATGACTCAGCACAGCCTGGACAGGAGCGACCAGGGTGTCCATTCTCCCTGGCTTACCTGAGAGTGAGTACAGAACCACACACACCCCAAATGAGTGTAAATTCTTCAACCCCCTCATCTTCTTAAGAGGTCCTCATCCTTCAGATAAGCTACTTCTAGAATATTCTTATTTAGAAACATACAAGTAAATAAACAGATTTTGAAAATGTACCTAACACCATCATAAATACTGTACAGTGTGATATGTAAAACATATGAAAAAAACATGCTTATAGGATTTACAATTTTGTTATGGAGACAGGAAAACCCATGGCCTTTCTGGGTCATAAGTGCTACAGGGTTTTAGCTATGAAGATGCACATAATTACAGAATCCATATAGCCTATCCTATGTGCTGAACTGTGTCCCCCTAAAATTCCTGTGCTGAAGCCCTGACCCCCAGCACCTCAGAACGTGACTGTGTTTGCAGATGGGTCTTCACAGAGGTGACTAGGGTGAAATGAGGTCACCGGGGTGGCCCTGATCCAGTAGAGGAAGGAGATAAGGGCACAGACACACACAGGGGGACGACCACGGGAGGTCACAGGGAGGGCGCAGTGTCCACACGCCAAGGAGAGAGGCCTCAGGAGAACCAGCCTGCCCACACCGGAATCTGAGAAAACAAAGCCCTGTGCCACTGTGACAGCCCCAGCTAACGAAAACATCCCCGTGTCAGCCTTCCTGGCTGCAGAACACACTGCGGCCGACCTGGAGGCTTAAAGCAATGCTCGCTTACAGTCCTGTTTCTGAGGGGCTGGACAATGGCACAGTTTAACGGGTGGTGCCCTTTCCTATGGGGTCTCTCAGGGTGTGACGGCCTCGGCCAGGGCTCAGGGTTGGGGTCTCCCCACAGTCTTGGCCAGGGAGGGGTGTGCTTCTGATCTCCCATGGCTGGGGCAGTAGTCAGTCGCTCAGGGGTTGCTGAGCTGAGGGTCTTAGTCTCCGACTAGCTGTAGGCTGGAGGCCGCCCTCGATCCTGGCGTGCCCCTGGCAGATGGCAGCTTGCTTCAGCAAAGTCGCCAAGGGAGAGTCTCCTAGCAAGAGGAGAGTCACTGTCTTATCTAGGGTAATCACAGAAGTGACAGCTCATCACATTAGCCACGTTCCACTGGCTAGAAGCAAGGCACCAGGCAGGCCCACTTGCAGGGGAGGTGACCACGCAGGGGCAGGCACCCCAGGCGGCCAGGAGCCCTGGGGCCGCCCTGGAGCTGCTGTCACGCTGCCTCAACCACGACGGCCCAGAGCCCCGTGGGCCTTCTCTCTGGTGAGCGGCCCCACGTGCTCTAGCTTCCTGAACAACTCAGTGGCCTCCCGTGAATCACAGGTGTCCTGCACTGTCCCACTGGGCATGTTCTGACATCCCGAGCACGACGACCAAACCGCAGTTTTCATTCAACTCAGAACTGGGCCGTCAAGGAAACGCCTATCGCCTGGTGGGTGTCACCACCCACAGCAAGTCCATCTGAGTTTCAGGGGCGCGGGCAGAGGAGGGGCGTGATCGGGAGGAAAGCACAGCTCTCTGCTTACTCTGCTAAAGTGACGCGCACATAACACTTGTAAGATATCCTTTACCTCGAATTCGGTCGGCAACAGAAGTCACACAACTGCCCCACTGTTACCGGCTCTCACGACCGCAGGACGAAGGCGAGACGCCCACCGTCCTGTTTGTCACCGTGGGAAGGTTACTTCTATCATCCGCGTGCCCTGCAGCAGTGCGGAGACAGCTTCGTTTATCATTTCATACTCACTCAAGTACCCAAACTGTAGTACTCACTGCTTATTCTTCCTTTGAAGCTCAAGCCCAGTGTCACGTGAATAAAAACGTAACCCTCAGGCTGGAATCTCATCTGGTCTGGTGACATGGTGGCTGTGACAAAGGGTCAATGGGCGGCATCACTGGCACAGACGCCTGTGGGCTCTTGAACAGTGTCGGGAATTTGGAGAAAATGTGCTTATTTCTTCCCAGCCTTAAGATACTTTTTTAAAACTTAATAAGATATTTTATTTCAAATGAGGTGGAAAATACGAATTCAGACCTATGAAGTCCGTCCGTCACTCCTGTCCCAAATCAAGTGTGTCTTCACACAGAATGGTTCTGGTTACTGGTGGACACTGAAGCGCCAGCCCGAGTCACTCCACAGGCCATCAGAAGAGCGCTAAGCTACCGAAGGGGACAACTGACCTATCCGGGGGCGAGCTTTTACCAGTAAGTAAATTTCAGAAGTACGCACCCCTGATGCCAAAGCTTTTAACATGGTCACCTCCAGGGAACATGGCACAGGCCGGCTTCCTCACACAGATGACAGGGCATGCGTCATCATGCTGCTGCAAGTCGGTGAGGCCCCCAGAGGCCGCTGAGGCGTGTCCCCGTCTGTCCCCTGCTCTCCACGCAGAGCCACTTGTCAGCACAGGCAGTGCCAGGCCAGCCTGGGCAGGGGAGGGGCTGGCCTCCTGCCACCAATGTGCAGTGAGCGCCCCTCCCGCCGAGACGCACGCACGCGGTGCAGACACACGACCAAGGAAGACGCGGGTGTGCCACACGCAGCAGAGGGCGCGACCCCTCTGGCCGCCCCGAGCAGACCGCACCCCAATCTCATGTGGGGATCAGTCCCGGGGGGACAGAGCGCTCGCCATCGGTTCCTGGGCCCTCCCTTGGCCTGCTGGCTCCAGCCCCTCCCCCGATGGCCGACACCCACTAGGAGGTCAGGTTAGTCCTGCTCCTCGGCCCCAGCTCCGCGCTCAGCTTTCCACATCGTCCAGTTTCTAGAAAACTGAAGTCCCAGCGAGGCATGCGAGGCACGCCCTGCCCTGCAGATGCAGCCTGGGCGCCCCGAGCCCGGGGAGGAGGACACACCACGCAGCGTGGGCGACGGAGGCTCTGCGGGCTGCGTCTGCTCTAGCGCCGTGTCTGCCTCGTCACCAGCTTTTGCTGCCGGCTCACCCTGCCACGAGCATTTTCAGGACAGAAACAGGTTCGGGCGCATGTTCAGCGAACGATGGTCGTCCCTCCCTGCATCACGGCTGCTGTGACGAACCGGTGGCGGTGACCCAGGGCACGCCGGAGCCCACCGCTGCCGCAGCCGCCACACAGGGCCCCGCACCTGAGGCTGGGGCGCCCCCACGCAGTCACCACTCCCGGGGAGGGCTGTGTCTTGGGCAGGGACACGGGCTCCATCCACCCGAGCGCTCACGCTCAGGGCCACGTGACTCTGCAGCCGCTGCTGAGAGGAAGCGCCGGGTTATGACTGGCCGCGCGCCGTGCGCGTGGACGCGACGCTGTCGCCTTCCTCGGCACTTTTCAAACTCGTACCCGCGCGTGACGCTCCCGCTTCACACTTCTCTTCTGCTCTAGCCTAACCCATACCGTGGGTCTGACTTTCACGCGCTCTGAGTCCTTCTGACATCGTGTCTGCCCTGCACGCCCGGACAAGCCAGCGGGATGCTGTCACCGCGCAGCGGCGCACTCCCGTTCACGGCAAAGCAGAGCGGGGTGCACGCGCCCAAGTCCATGCACCTAATTCAGGAGGGGACCCGAAGGTTGCCCCGTGGGAA